GGGATCTTGCGATACGCATCAGGCAGGTCCTCTCCTGCTGTGGCCAGGGTATCAGGCCACTCAGCACAACACTTTCCTTGGCGGGCCAACTCTGCTGCAAGTGCTTGCGCATGAAGGCACGGCTGAATGGCCGAACAGAACTGGAGCTTGTTGGCATCACTGCTGAATTCGCTCTGCCTGCCGGCCAGAGCATCATCAATGACGCGCTTCTTGCCGCTGGCTTGCGTCACGACGAAGCGCCGAATCACGCGGAAAAGGCGCCCAGCAGCAGTCAGTTCCTGCCACCCCACACTCGGGTGACAAAATCCTGCCTTCTCGTCCTTCTCCCCAGCTTCCCACACAACTTGGTCGTCTTCTGACGGCCGGAGAGAGGACACAACAGCTTCAGCATCACGTTTGCCCTCACTCAGAGCATCCTGCAAGGTGCAGAAACGTGCAGGCTTGCTTTGCCACACCCCGCATGGTTCCTGGTAGCCGACAGCCGGGAAGCCCTCTAACAACCCTTGGACAAGGGACGTGTCCGGCCATGCCAGGAGCACGACGCACACTGCAAATAACGCTAGGTGGACACGAGGATTGACAGAGTGCACGTCTGGATGTTGCACAGCGTGCAACTGTTGCGACACAGGCCAAAGCCGCACAGCCAACTCCTTCAAGAGTGCCATAGCATCCGCCCTGATGCGCCGCAGACGTGCGAGGTCAGTTGCCATGCTAGCTGCTGCAAACTGCACATCGTGGTCCACTACTGCTTCCCAGTCAAGAGGGCACCCGTGCAGTTGGACATCCAAGGCACACCGGAAATGGCTGTCTGCAGTCTGTCCATACGGCACAACGGGTGGCAGGGCATGGCGCTTACTGGCAACAGCGCCTTGGTCTGCCGCACTCGCTCGCTGGGCCATCACACACGCCGAGCCCAGAGCTCGAGGGCCAAGCACGCCGGCATCAGGCAGCCCACGCTCACGCAGCCAGTCACCAAAAGCTGTAAAATGCGGCGAATTGACAAGATCCTCAATGTAT